CAACCACACAGACACAACCACACAGACAACTACACAACCACACAGACAGACACAACCACACAGACACAACCACACAGACACAACCACACAGACACAACCACACAGACACAACGCCACAATCACACAGACAACTACACAACCACACAGACACAACCACACAGACACAACCACAAAGACACAACCACACAACCACAGACACAACCACACAGACACAACCACACAAACACACGGGCCCCGCTTGTGCCCTGGCCTGGTCTATTAATAGAGCAGCGGATCAAGGATCAGCGAATCCACACTCGCGTGAGCGGTAATGAGTTGTGGGGAGTAGAGGGGGGCAGGGGGGGGGGGGCGGGGGGGGAGGGGCCAATGGAAATGTTTGTATTGTGAATGTGTAGCGTCCTCTTGTGGCTGGGCACGTGAACACGTGACGATGCGCTATAAAGAAGGGCCATTGCCCGAAACGTCGCCCATTATATATTTTTACGGCCACAGTATTTTCAAATTATAGAAGCTGATCACTAGCTCGACTGCCCATCCACTCGCTCACCACTCGCTCACTCAACCATTTACTAACTCACTCACCCAACCACTCACTCAACCACCTAGCCACTCACCACCCGCTCACTCACTCAACCACCCATCCACTTACTAAACCACCCATCCACTAACTCAACCACCCGCTCACTCACTCAACCACCCATCCACTCACTCACTCAACCACCCATCCACTCACTCAACCAACCATCCACCCACTCACCACCCGCTCACTCACTCAACCAACCATCCACTCACTCACTCAACCACTTATCCACTCACTCAACCACCCATCCACTCACTCACTCAACCACCCATCCACTCACTCAACCACCCATCCACTCACTCACCACCCGCTCACTCACTCAACCAATCATCCACTCACTCAACCAACCATCCACTCACCACCCGCTCACTCACTCAACCACCCATCCACTCACTCAACCACTTATCCACTCACTCAACCACCCATCCACTCACTCACTCACTCAATCACCCATCCACTCACTCAACCAACCATCCATTCACTCACCACCCGCTCACTCAACCAACCATCCACTCACTCACTCAACCACCCATCCACTCACTCAACCACCCATCCACTCACTCACCACCCGCTCACTCACTCAACCACCCATCCACTCACTCACTCAACCAACCATCCACTCACTCACCACCCGCTCACTCAACCAACCATCCACTCACTCACTCAACCACCCATCCACTCACTCAACCAACCATCCACTCACTCAACCAACCACTCATTCACTCAACCACCCATCCACTCACTCACCACCCGCTTACTCAACCAACCACCCGCTCACTCACTCAACCAACCATCCACTCACTCAACCACCCACCCACTCACTCAAGCACCTGCTCACTCAACCACTCATTCACTCACTCGCTCAACCATGCACACGTTCACCCACCCCGCTCACCCACTCGCTCAACAACAGCCGGCATTCGCCACTGAGTGGCGGTGACGTCACCACGGCGCTCGTGCCAAGCTAGGTGCACTTTGAGGCCACGTGAAGTTTGGAAGGCCCGCTGGCAGGGGTTCACGGAACAGACCCAGCAGGTGCCATGGGTTGACTGACTGAGATGACCGGCCGATACACCACCACAAAGACACACACAGGTACACACACAGGTATACACACACACAGGTACACACACAGGTATACACACACACAGGTACACACACAGGTATACACACACACAGGTACACACACACATGTACACACACAAAGACTCAACTGCCCACAGATATACACACACACACACTTACAAAGACAAAGATCTCCCGTATAGCCTTATCAGACTATTGGGGCAAGTGCTGTTAGCGAGTTGGCACGCTATGGAGGGCGGCACGCCAACACGGGGGTGGGCAGCGCCACGCCCGGCCGCCTTTGTCTCCCCAGTGGCTGGCAGACGGCTGGTAGATGCACCAGCTGTGCCCCCCCCCCCCCCCCACTTTGCCAACTCTACGTTTTACCCGCCCGGCGCTCCGCTCGTTGTTGTGAGCGTCGCTTCTCCGCCCTCCGTTGTTGCTGGAGGGCGACTGCCTCCGACTGCCAGCGTCAGCAGCAGCGGCAGCGTCCTTCACGAGCCTCCTCCTCCTCCTCCACAGAGGCCGACACCGCAGGGTCACCGGTCATCGGCGCGGGGGAGACAAAGGCGGCCGGGCGTGGCGCTGCCCACCCCGTTCCCTCGTGTGTGCCGTGCCGGCCTTCATATCCGGTGCTCGGTAGCAGCACTCGCCCCGCCAGGCTGTGGAGGGCTGCACGCGGGAGCCGTGAGCGGTGTTTGGGGAATGTGTGGAGGATGTGATGGGGGTGGAGGTGGAGGAGGAGGAGGAGGTGGGGAGAGAGAAGGAAGAGCGAAAACAAAGACAAATGTCTCCCGTGCAGCTTTCACAGGCTGTAGGGGGCAAGTGCTGTGAGCGAGGGGGTGGGTAGGCAGCACCACGCCCGGCCGCCTTTGTCTCCCGGTCGGCGATGTTTACACACCGCACCAGGTACTCATTCGAGGCTGAGTCGACCTAGGGGAGGCCCAGGACCGGTTTAAATATTCGCCACTGTTATTGGTCGGGAGCTGGAAGTGAAGTCGTGCGGCCGGGTTCGGAGCGCAGCGCGCTAACCACTTCGCCACCGCTCCCCAACGCTGAGACGCACACTGAGACACACACACGCTGAGACACACACTGAGACACACACACGCAGACACTGAGACACACGCTGAGACACACACTGAGACACACACTGAGACGCACACTGAGACACACACGCGCTGAGACACACACACACTGAGACACACACTGAGACACACACACACGCGCACTCACACACGCGCACACACTGAGACACACACACGCTGAGACACACACTGAGACACACTGAGACACACGATGAGACACACACTGAGACACACTGAGACACACACTGAGACACACACTGAGACACACACTGAGACACACACGCGCTGAGACACACACTGAGACACACACTGAGACACACACTGAGACACACTGAGACACACACTGAGACACACACTGAGACACACACGCGCTGAGACACACACTGAGACACACACACACGCGCACTCACACACGCGCACACACTGAGACACACACACTGAGACACACGCTGACACACACACGCACACACTGACACACACTGACACACACACGGACACACTGACACACACACACTGAGACACACACACATACTGAGACACACACTGACACACACACACTGAGACACACACACACACTGAGACACACACACGCACACACACACTGAGACACACACACACACTGAGACACACACTGACACACACACTGAGACACACACACATTGACACACACACTGAGACACACACACACTGACACACACTGACACACTTATCCGCAGCTCAGCGCTGATTTGCCCGCATTGGATCCAACGGCATTGCTCACAAGGCCCTCACAGCGGAGCACAGAGGACACACACAGACACACACAGACACATAGACGCACGCACACACACACAGACACGTACATCGACACACACACAGACACGCACATAGACACACACACATAGACACACACAGACACGTACATAGACACACACTCACACAGAGACACACACAGACACGTACATAGACACACACACACACACATAGACGCACACACACATAGACACACACACGCACACACAGACACGTACATAGACACACACAGACGAACAGGCCACGCAGCAAGGCAGCCAGACGCGAGCACAAACACACGCACAGTCAAATGAGCGCTCCCACACACACAGAGGCAAATCACACGTGCGTCTATGCGGAGACGCATAGACGCACATCAATACACATCAACACATAGACACACATCAACACACATCAACACATAGACACACATCAACACACATCAACACATAGACACACATCAACACACATCAACACATAGACACGCATCAACACATAGACACACATCAACACATAGACACACATCAACACATAGACATACCTCAACACACATCAACACATAGACACACATCAACACACATCAACACATAGACACGCATCAACACATAGACACACATCAACACATAGACACACATCAACACATAGACACACCTCAACACACATCAACACATAGACACACATCAACACACATCAACACATAGACACGCATAGACACACATCAACACATAGACACACATAAACACATAGACACACATCAACACATAGACACACATCAACACATAGACACACATCAACACATAGACACACATCAACACATAGACACACATAGACACACATAGACACATAGACACACATCAACACATAGACACACATCAACACATAGACACACATCAACACACATCAACACATAGACACATAGACACACATGAACACACATCAACACATAGACACACATCAACACATAGACACACATCAACACATAGACACACATCAACACACATCAACACATAGACACACATCAACACATAGACACACATAGACACACATCAACACATAGACACACATCAACACATAGACACACATCAACACATAGACACACATCAACACATAGACACACATCAACACATAGACACACATCAACACATAGACACACATCAACACACATCAACACATAGACACATAGACACACATGAACACACATCAACACATAGAAACACATCAACACATAGACACACATCAACACATAGACACACATCAACACACATCAACACATAGACACACATCAACACATAGACACACATAGACACACATCAACACATAGACACACATCAACACATAGACACACATCAACACATAGACACACATCAACACATAGACACACATCAACACATAGACACACATCAACACATAGACACGCATAGACACACACAAACACATAGACACAGGCAGACGGACACAAACGTACACATACACACAGCGACACACACATACAGACACACACATAGAGACACAGACATACAGACACACACATACGGACACACACACATACAGACACACACACATACAGACACACACATACAAACACACACATAGAGACACACAGACACGTGGAGTCAGGGGCAAGTGGGCGAGGTGCTGGGCGAGTGGTTCCGGACAGTGAACCTAGCCTGGCACCGAACGCAACTCATCGCAAATGAGATCAGCATGGCAGGTGAGTGCTTCCGTTACGATCACCACCATCATCACTATCATTATCGCTATAATCATCACCACCATCATCAGCGTGATCGTGATCATCATCATCATCAATAGCGTCATCACCATCAACCTCATCACAATCATCACCTCGTCATCATCATCATCATCAGCAGCGTCACTAGAAGCGTCATGACGATCATCACCTCGTCATCCTGATAGTCATCATCATCATCATCTCCCGGAATGACGGAATTTGCCGATGTGTCGAGAGGTGCCTCGATGTGGGTCACATGCAGCAAAGGGACAAAGGTCCCCCGTATAGCCTCCACAGACCGCGTGGGCCAAGTGCTGTTGGCGAGCGGCAGCACAGCTGTAGGCCCACGTGGCTCCCGAGCTGGGGTTGGTGTCAGTCAGCAGCACGTCCCGGCCGCCTTTGTCTCTCCACAGCGCTGACGTTTCTAACGCCACTGGTGTTCACGAACACTCGCCACTGATATTCATGAACACTCGCCACTGATGTTGATGAACACTCGCCACTGATATTCATGAACACTCGCCACTGATGTTGATGAACACTCGCCACTGATGTTCACGAACACTCGCCACTGATGTTCACGAACACTCGCCACTGATGTTCACGAACACTCGCCACTGATGTTGATGAACACTCGCCACTGATGTTCACGAACACTCGCCACTGATGTTGATGAACACTCGCCACTGATGTTCACGAACACTCGCCACTGATGTTCACGAACACTCGCCACTGATGTTCACGAACACTCGCCACTGATGTTCACGAACACTCGCCACTGATGTTCACGAACACTCGCCACTGATGTTGATGAACACTCGCCACTGATGTTCACGAACACTCGCCACTGATGTTCACGAACACAGTCGCCACTGGTGTTGATGAACACTCGCCACTGATGTTCACGAACACTCGCCACTGATGTTCACGAACACTCGCCACTGATGTTCACGAACACTCGCCACTGATGTTCACGAACACTCGCCACTGATGTTGATGAACACTCGCCACTGATGTTCAAGAACACTCGCCACTGATGTTCACGAACACTCGCCACTGATGTTCAAGAACACTCGCCACTGGCGTTCACGAACACTCGCCACTGATGTTCACGAACACTCGCCACTGGTGTTCACGAACACTCGCCACTGATGTTCACGAACACTCGCCACTGATGCTCACGAACACTCGCCACTGATGTTCACGAACACAGTCGCCACTGATGTAGGCCGCGAGGAGCGGGATTCTCTCACTTCGCTGGGATAATTCGTAGCGCAGTGCGCTAACCACTGCGCCACCGCTCGCTCGCTCGCCGCTCACCCCACACCCCCCCCCACCTTCGTTACACAATGAATACATTTTCTAGCGGTGGTGGAGTGGTTGGCGCATTGCGCTACGAACCCGGCGACCTGAGTTCGATACCAGCCCACGGCTTGTATCAGTGGTGGCGAGGGATATCTGTAACCAGTGCTGGACTCCCCCCCCCCTCCACCCTCTCCACCCCACCCCCTTCACCAGCCCGCAATGTACCCGCGTGGCGAAGTATGGTCACACGCGTGGGGGAGGCGGTTCATCCAGCAGTGGATTGACAGAGGGCTGTGATGGTATAATCCACTCCGTAGTTCGGTGTCGTCTTGAAATCGATGCGAAACGTTGAGCTCGATTCATTTGCGACCTACAATCATTGAGCCTTCACTTGCGCCGTTATACGATTATTAAAATATTACAGAGGCGCAGCCCTGCAATTGCCTTCTCACTGCCACCACTCCACCGCCCTCTCGTCTAGACCATTCTTTTTTTTTACATTTAATTGTACCCGGTAAGGTCCCACCGAGCTGGGCTATCACCATGGATAGCAGCTCAACGAAGTGATCTCGTCGTCGTCGTCATCATCATCATCATCACGTGGGCATTCATACCAGCAGCTAGATAACTCATCGACGCGTGATGTCCATTCTAAATGTGGAGGGGGGGGGAAAACCGGAGGACACGGAGAAAAAAACATCCACGCGACCACGTGGAGAGAGACAGAGAGAGACGCAGACTCCAAATATACAGCAGCAGCAGGCATCGTCAGGGTCGGGATCGAACCCACGACCTCCCGTATACCAGGCGAGGGAGTTAACATCTCCTAGCCACCGTGGTGACAGGTGGGGTGTAAGCACACTTTACCCCATCACGGGAAAGGCGGTCCGATCGCTTGATTGCCGTGCCACCCATTGACACTGCAGGGCAGAGCCGATGGAAATTCGGCGAATCGCGACGAACGCCCCGGGCACCGCACTTTTAGGGACCCCCTCCGCCCTGCCTTTCCACGTCTCGGTGCCAGCCGCAAGACGTCCGGTGTAGTTTGAAGACGTTGGTTAGGGGTGGTTTGTCTGGCTGGCAAAGTGGCCACAAAGTCGCGTGGGGTGGCAGACCTGGGGTGGCATACACACACCACACACAACACACACACACACCACACACACACACAGAACACACCACACACACACACCACACACACACACCACACACACACACCACACACACACACCACACACAGAACACACACACCACACACACACCCCCCCACACACACACACACCACACACACACCACACACACACACCACACACACACAAACCACACACATACCACACAGAACACACACACACCACACACACACACTCCACACACACACCACACACTACACACACACCACACACACACCACACACACACCACACACACATCACACGCACACACCACACACACACACACCACACACACCACACACACGCACACCACACACACACCACACACACAAACACACCACACACACACCACACACATACACACACCACACACACCACACACACACACCACACACATACACACACCACACACACCACACACACACCACACACACACCACACACACCACACACATACAACACACACACACCACACACACCACACACACACCACACACACACCACACACAGAACACAGACACACCACACACACACCACACACACCACATACACAAACACCACACACACCACAGACATCACATACACCACACACACCACATACACACCACACACCACACACACCACACACCACACACACACCACACACCACACACACAACACACACACCACACACACCGCACACACACACCACACACACCGCACACATACACCGCACACATACACCACACCACACACCATACACACATTACACACACACCACGCACACACACCACACACACACACTACACACACACCACACACACACACACCACACACACACCACTCACATCACACACACCACACACACCACACACACACCACACACACTACACACACTACACACACAACACACACACAAACAGCACACACCACACACACACACACCACACACCACACACACCACACACACACCACACAGACACACACACACACCACACACACCACATACACACACACACACTACACACACACCACATACACATACACCACACACCACACACACACCACACACACACCACACACACACCACACACACACCACACACACCATACCACACACACCACACACACAAACACCACACACACCACACCACATACACCACACACACACACCACACACACCACACACACACCACAAAAACACCACACACACACACCACACCACACACACCACACACACCACATACACCACACACACCACATACACACCACACATACACCACACACACACAACACACACACCACACACACCACACACACGACACACACACACCACACACACACCACACACACCACACACACAACACACACACCACACACACCACAAAAACACCACACACACACACCACACACCACACACACCACATACACCACACACACCACATACACCCCACACATACACCACACACACACACAACACACACGCCACACATACCACACACACCACACACACACACCACACACACACACCGCACACACACATCACACACGCACCGCAACACACACACCACACACACCGCACACACACACCACACACATACACCACACCACACACCATACACACACACTACACACACACACCACACACACACACCACACACACACACACTACACACACACCACACACACACCACACAGACACACCACACACCACACACACACACCACACACACCACACACACACACCACACACACCACACACACACACACCACACACACACCATACACACACCACACATACTACACACACACCACACACACATACACCACACCACACATCACACACTACACACACACACCACACACACACCACACACACACCACACACCACACACACCACACAGACCACACACACACACCACACACACCACACATACACCACACACACCACACATACACCACACACCACACATACACCACACACACACACCCCACACACACCACACACCACACACACACCACACACACACCGCACACACACCACACACACACCGCACACACACACCACACACAGCGCACACACACACCACACACACCACACACATACACCACACCACACACCATACACACACTGCACACACACACCACACACACACCACACACACACACTACACACGCACACACCACACACAGCACACAGACACACCACACACCACACACACACACCACACGCTCCGCACACACACTACACACACCGCACACACACACACCACACACACCACACACATACACCACACCACACACCATACACGCACACTACACACAAACACCACACACACCACACACACACTACACACACACCACACACACACCACACAGACACACCACACACCACACACACCACACACAGCACACACACACACCACACACACACCACACACACCACACACACACACCACACACACACACCATACACACACCCCACATACCACACACACACCACACACACATACACCACACCACACA